AAAAAACATGAGATCATATGCTATCTTGTGAGGTCCATAAAGGGGCCTAAGGGATGTCAAGTAGTTTGAGTTTACTGTTACAGTGCTGTGAAAAAGTATTTGCCCCCTTCCTGAGTGGCTAATCCAAACCTATCCAGCCCTATGTGAAAAAGTAACCCAACTCATGTTAAATCATGAATTAACTGCGATTAACCACGTTTTTGAAACACTGAGTTCAGTACCCACACCCAGGTCTGATTACCGCTAGACCTGCTAAATCAAGAAATCACATAATATAATCTACCCGACAAAGTGAAATAGGATAAAAGATCTTAAAAGAAACACATCAGGTCGTGGTCTAAAAATCTAAAGCTGAGAAACAACGTCACTGATGTCTATTAATCTGAAAAGGATTACACAGGTTTGGGACTCCAGTGAACCAGAGTGAGAGTCATTATCCACAAATGGAGAACATTTGGAACAGTGGTGAACCTTCCCAGGAGTGGCCATCCTACCAAAATTATTCCTAAAGTGCACTGACGACTCAACCAGGATCACCAAAGAGCTCAAAATGACATGTAAAGAACAACAACTTAAATAAAAATAAAAGAAAAAACAACATCTCACAAGAAGTCAAAGGTCAGGGTGAAGAGGTGGGTTTTCAGAAGTGTTTTAAAAACAGGCAGAGAAGAGGCCTGTCTAATCTCTAAAGGCAGATTGTTCCACAGTTTTGGAGCTGCTACGGCAAAAGCACGATCTCCTCTAAGCTTACGCTCAGTCCTGAGTACATTCAGGCACAGCTGATCAGCTGACCTAAGCGAGTGAGGGTGAGTGTATAATGCTGTAGCAACTCAGAGAGATAAGATGGGTCTAGGCCATGGAGGCTTTAAATGCAAATAAAATAATTTTAAAATGAATCCTAAAAGAAATGGGCAGCCAGTGAATTAAAAAAAAAAGACTGGCAAAAAATGCCCTCAATGGAAGAGTTTCAAAGAGAAATTCTCTGCTGACCAAAAACAACACAAACGCTTTTTTCACATTTGCCAAAAAAGAAAAAAAAAACAGGACTTTTAGAAAATATTCTGTTGACTGATGAGACAAAAGTTGAACTTTTTGGAAGGTTTAATGATGTAAAACTAACAACAGTCAAACATGGTCGTCATAGTTGCCATTACTTGCGGTACTATGAATTCTGATATCTACTAGAAAATCCTGAAGGAGAATGCTCAGCCATCAGTTCATGTCCTGAAGATCAAACATACTCAGATTATGCACCAGGACAATGATCGGAAACACAGCAGCAATTCCATCTACTCAGGTTATCTTTGTCTAATGATACCATTTGTTTGATGATCTGACAAATATCCAAAAAACTAAAAATTAGAGGCAAATACTTTTTCACAGCAATGAACATAATGTCTTGTTAAGTCTGATGGATCCCAATAGAGAACCAGTAACTTTGACTAATGACTCACAGGATGCATAAGAATAATTAGGTGATTTACATCCACAAAGTAAAACCAACGAAACATGCAAACAGTGAACTTCAACAAAAGCTGAGTCTGTAAACTGAAAATCCCTCATGTAGTAAATGCACTAAAGGGTTTTTAAGACCCACACAAAAATCTGCTATTATCACTGTTAAGAAATGTGTAGATCTCTTTTTAAAAACATTATTCTAATAATTGCATAATCAAACCTTCAATTAAAAACAGCGGATATGGAACTACAAACCCATGAAACAAGAGTCTCGATGTCTAGAGCTGAGGATCCCTGACCAAAAACAAAAAACATGAGCCTTGTCCTATTTAGCAAACTATTCCTATTTTCTGCATGCAAACATCAGGAGTAAATCATAAAAGTGAAAAAGATCCAGACCTGGGAGACAGCAAAAAGGTGATCATTAGCTTACCCAGTACAAAAGACATGGGGATGAGACTGGCATAGTGATTGCAGTAAATTGCCAGCTTTTCGAAATACCTTTTCTGGTCATCATACAGGAAAAATCTAAAAACAAAAGAGTAAAAGTTTTCCAGAGTTTAGTATTATGAATGGATCAAAGCACTGATAAAGCAGTCACCCTTTCTCACCTGTAAGTAATACTGATGGCGGTATACATGGCAAAGAAAGCCAGGAATTCTTTATATAACACCTTGTAGATGCTCCCTTTCCAGGCCCAGAGCAGCTTGGAGAAGCCACAGAATCGGGCGTTTGCAACTCTAGCCGTGTATGTGACCGTCATCAGTGACAGAAGATCTACAAGTCTCCAGAATAAAAAAAAAAAACAGCTGTTTGGAAGAAACAGCTAAACTCAGGTGAGCCAGAGACAATGAGAACATGATCTCACAAAAAACAGTTTTTATTTCTAGTTATTGATTGTAGTTATTAAAAAAAAGAAAAAAAACCCATCTACTTACCTTTTGTTGTGATTTAGCTTGCTGAAATGTTCAGCGCATCCTCTGTGCGTAATTGGCACCTCTGGATAAGTGAATTCATATTTTCATTTAGTAGTACCGTCTTCCATTTGCCTTGTTCCGTGCTGTTTTTTCAATGAGCTCGGAAGCCTGTGATCAAGTGGCTCCGTTAAGTTGAAGCTCATTCGGCTGCGTGGCAGTAATCCTACGTGCCTCCTCAGTGCGTCCAGTGGTCAGTGCGCCCCGGGGTAAATCCCCAAAACGAGAAGGAGGAGCTCGTTAAGGCGACCCCCGACCGGGAGAGCGGGGCTAGGTGATGGAACACAAGCGACAGGCCGCAGCGCCGGGGCACCATGACCGTGCAGTACAGTAGAAAATTATGCAACAATAGCAAGTGAACCATGGCAAAGTTTCGTGTTAAGTGATACGAAAGAAAATCACCCAATTTTCCAGTTACAAATCAGCAATTACTGCGTGCTGCAGCTTAAATAACAAACATCTCAAGATACTCGTACCATCTTAAAGGAGCATTTTATGTCAAAGCTTCCTCCACTTTTCTTAAACTTAGTTGTACTGTAATAAGAAGATATCAGTGGAGTGGAGCTCTCCACCAGGATATAGTTTCTGAGACCTTTTTTAATGATGTCTCCAAAGTACCCAACACGACTTATCGACCACACTTTAAACTGAGACACTTCTTGGCGTTCATTGATACAATAGTCATTTTGTGTCATTTTTTCCTCCCACTTTTGCGTTCTTTTCAGTGGGAGGCTTTTATGTTGCTCCTGAACTGCTTTGTTGGAAGGTTAAATGGGGCTTCATGCTCTGTCGGAGCTGATCTGCACACTGCTCAGTTTGGTGGTCTGTGCGCACGCAAGAATTTGCTTCAGTCCCCTCCAATTAAACGATTAATTCAACTGGCACGCAGATGAAAAAGAAATGACCATGAAAGACTTTCAGCTGAGGCAAGTTTGTTTTAATCAACACTGACATTATAATTTAAGGAAAATCTATAGAAAACAGATTCTTACCAACTCAAAAACTGTCCGTGACAGAGAGGGGAAATGGAGCTTTTAACTGAGAGTGCACTATCCTGTCATTTATTTATTTTTCACTTGGGAAGCACCAATCAAGGCAGCCAGGAATCTCATATTCAATCAAAAGGGAAAGGATGCTTTAAATTTCCTTCACCTCACCATTCATTTAACATTTGATTAAGTGACATTCAATATGTATTTTAATTAACAAAGCACTGAATAAGGCTACTAATATCTTTCAATAGTGTTCCCATATAGTTCTCAGTCAACAGGATGGATACAAGTTTGACAGAAACACACTGGATGAGTTTATGAGCGCTGTATAGGAACATGAACAGGGAGATCAGCAGTGCCCAACAGCTTTAGCTTCCAGCTCAAACATCACCAGTCACATCAAATAAAACTGCAACCTTCCCCCACATACCAACCAAAGCAACTACAGTGTCCTTTATGGATAGAAAACAATAAATCTGACTGATGTTCTTTATTGTCATCTAATGATCTGATAAATGGTAAAAGACACTCAAGTTTGTTTTGTTTCAGTTTGTTTTGGTTGCAATAACAAGGCTGTAACTAAAGACCACACAGGCTGTCTTCCTGTTTTTCTTAGTGTTTTCTTTTTTATTTCCCTGCCACCACCACAACCTGAATATAGAACTCTGGATGGAAAAAGTGTGATACACGAGTTTGTTTGAATTTTTAGTTGCAAATCAAATGGAAGAAGAGACACAGTCACCATGAATCACACAGAACAAACAAGTCATAAACATCAACCATCTGAAAGCTGTTTTCTCCTCAAACACACAGCACTGTCACTGGAAACACTTTGTTTTCACAACTGAGGCCGGACACTGCACGGGGTGTGGGGGAGGAGGGGACGATTTTTCAATTCTTCTGTCGAGAAAAAGTTAAATGCTTAAAGTAGGAACTGCCACAGTGGATATGAAGACAAGAGAAGGTGAAGTGAGAGTAAGGCGGCACGCATATGTACCATCTTATCTCCAAAAATAATGCAGCTTCTCTATGGGTTTACTTGTGATGCCGTGGGGGGTGGGGCACCCTTCAATGCGGGCGGGTGTCTCGCTGTAACCGTGCTGTGAAGATACTGCGTTGAGGACTGAATGGATCGTCTTGAGGCTGTTGCTGCAGGATTTGAGGCTTGCTGGGGATGGAGCTCAGAGGAGGATAACTCAGACTGCAGAGCTGTGTCTGTAGAATGGGGGGGAGAGGAGGCGGCCCTGCGAGGGGGCAGGACATCACTTGTTTGGGGGTTTGTAGGGTTCCAGAAGTTGCTTAGAGAACGTGTTGACCTTGTCGGCACCTCGAACTTCATGGGGCAGTAGAGGTAACTTGACTATGTGGAAATCCTCGTAAAGATCTTCCATCTGTGGGCAGAAGACAAACAACCAATAAAGTTGTGTGACTTTGAACTGTAAATATTGTAAATAAACTTTCCCATTTCTCCCGATTCATACCTGGTCTAAATATTTCGACTGAATTTTATGGCGGGCTTCACACATTTTACACGGCCTGTCTGCATCAGGGAAAACGAGCTGGTTGACAATGATGTTGTGCGTGTCGATGCGGCACTTGGCCAGTTCCTGAATCAGCCGCTCTGTCTCATAAAGTGACAGAAATTCAGCAATACACACACAGATGAAGGTGGTCTGCTCCTGAAGGGTGAGAGGAAGGTGCGTCACAACACACATAGATAAAAACTATTAATATGACTTGATGAAGCTCAAATTTGCTCCAAATACTGAATTCGTTATTTACATTAAATGTTTTGTCTAAACAGGTAGATGAGTTCCCATCAAAGAACAAAATCAAAAGGAATAACAAAACCTAAAGCAGTCAAGTAAAACAGACTAGCTACTAGGGCTCAACCGGGGTGGAGTTACAACTTTAAAAGAAAATAATAAAAAGGTGAAACTGTTGTCGAAACTTCTTTTGTCCTAATGACAAAATAGTATAAGGAGGGCTTGATAAGAGGGATACATGCATGTGCAACAGGCCGCTGTGCACAGTGAGTCACTCCAAAAAAACTCTTTTGTATCCACACACACTATTGACACTTGAACCAGCTAAAGTTTCTTCTGTCATCAGATAAGACTTGTTACAGAGGGTGTGCATGTAGCTACCACAGCACCTCATTAGAACAGTATATGACTGAAGTGTAGTGTGAAAAGGCTTATTCATCATGGATGGGTGGAGACTACAACCATTAAAGCAATTACATCTTTAATTGACAATGATGTTGCATCTGTTTCATCTGTACAATACTGCCAAAATTAGAAAGTGGCTGAAAGAAAAAAAAAGTCCAGGGATCATTATTATTTTTAGGCTAGACGACTGTAATTTTCTTTTATCGAGTTGTTCTAAAGGCTCTCTGAAAAGCTTTCAGTTGATCCCAAATGTAAGAGAACTAGAAAACACATATTTTATATACATAATAAAATCAGAGAGGAGCACCCTTCCTTAACCTGATCTCCACCAGAAGGGGGTCTTTCCGTTCTCCCCTCAATCATCAAATCAATAGTAAGCTAGTACTATATAAATCCCGAAGTTGTATAAGAATATATAAATGTGACTTACAGGGTCTTTGAACTGCTCACTAACTGAGCGAATGACTGGCAGGGTTTCTTCAAGCTTTGAGGCCAGCTGGTCTGCGTTCATGTCACCCAGACCAAGCATATTACACATCTAGAAACAGCAAAAGAGATGGACAGTGTGAGTGAAAACAAGAGAAGAGAGAAAGAGAAAACACTGGAGAAAGAAAAAGGCCAACAAAGTGCATATATTTAATCAGAAATCATGTTTTATGTGCAGAATCGTGATAATGGTTTGAACCGATCTGCTCGTCTCAGCACCCACCTGAGAGATGAAAGGGCTAATCTGGTTCTTGATCTGCATGAGGCGGCCTAGACCTCGCTCCACGATGGTGGGAAAGTTAAGCAGTCGCAGTGTGTGGCCAGTAGGGGCAGTGTCAAAGACCACCACTGAGAAGTTCATTCCCTTCACTAATCTGAGATACAGGCAAACAACAGTGGTAAGGATAACACTCACTAACTGTCCTTAAAACTTCAGACATGCTGCGAGAAAACTCAAATGCAAAACTACCTCATGACCTCTGCATAGCTCATAGCCTCATCGATGCCGGGGAAGGCGCTCATCGCTTCCTGCATCATCTTCTTGCCCATGCTGAGCATGTTGTCCTCCTCGAAGAACTCATCAGGCAGCTCTGCCACACCCAGGCTCGGGTCAATCTCCTGTATACACAATACATGCCCAAATCAAATAGATTGCAAATGTTTTTATGCCCTCCAGTGATTGAGTTTGTTACACAATGGTTCTTGTGAGACTCACATGTGGAACTGGCTAGCCTCATGACTCTGAAAAGATGGTGATCTCATGGACTAAATTTTATTTTCCAAAAACAGAATGAACAAACCCTCTGTGCTTTGTAAACTCTGTCTAAACGTTAGTCTTTAATATGACGCACAGATGAAAACGTGGAGAAGAAAATCCTTGTACTGTGGATGCTTGCTCATTGTTGTTTCATAGACTTCATCAGTGTTAATAATATTATTAATAACATGCATCTCAGAAAAAATATATTTGCAAACATTTGAGTTTAATTTTTAATCTCATCAAGCAGCAGCTCACACTTGTAACATTTAATAGCTGTTAGGTGTACGCATATACTCACCATTGCAAAGAGGTTGTCATAGCCCTTAACCTTAGTGGGTACCTTTGAGAACTTCTGGTCAAAAGCATCAGAGATGTTATGGGCAGGATCTGTGGAAATGATGAGCACACTCTCCCGAACAGCAGCCAGCTGGACAGCCAAACTACAGCTGTCAGAAGGACGTGGAAAGGGGACAGGTTTGTGTTTAGAGAGCTTGTTAAGAGTATTTTGTGCCCAATGTAAACATGTAAGAAATGCTGTGCAACTGACCAACAATGAGATCCGCAATGTTTTGAATTCTTAATCCTTCATGTGCATGCATGCCGTGTAAAGCACAAAGTAAAAATCGAATCCATTTCCACTTTGTGAACATTACCTTCCCCCAGTTACTTTGATGAACGCAACTTTCGCATGCAATTATATTCCAACTGAAACACAGTAGATACGGTAACTTAAGGGATAGCACATGCGACAGTGGTTAATCTATGCGCAATGTTATCGTGGCTGCTCTGGTGTGATGTACATATTTCTTTGAGACATTAATTAGATTTTTGTTGGTTATCTTGTTTGAAATAAGTCCACGTTCATTTGGAATCGCATTTATTCATATTTTTTTCTTCTTGTTATTAATAAAGATATGATAATACGGGCTTGACAGCCTAACTCTGGAGTCTCCTTTAACTCTGGGTGAAGTAAAAGAACAGATAATATTAGCAGCAGGTTATTGATGATGGCTTATACGGTGATTACTGAAGGTGTTGAGAAAGTCGTGAATCCATGTGTCAGCTGCTAACGTTAGCTGCTGACTGCGCTTCACAGCTACCAAACTGACCGGCGAAAGGACTCCTTACTCAAATCTAAAACATAACAGTCACTTTTTTTTATGCTAGCGCGTCTTTAGGTAGAAATTTAACACCAGTCTAATCTCGTCGTGGGAAAATTACCCACGCAATTCATTTTCGGACAATGATCCGCGTCAACTTATGGTAACGGCTAATGCTAGCCAGCCGCTTAAGCCGAGTCAGTATCCGGAGGCAATTTAGCATTTTAATCAACTTACCTACATGTCGTTTTACCAACGCCACCCTTCCCACCCACAAATATCCATTTCAAAGATTTCTGCTCGATGATATTCTTCAGAGTTGGTTCTAACGGCTCCACATCGGGCGCATCTTCAAATTCGTCTTCCACCAAAGCTGCCATCTTGTATGTGTACAGTCAGCGACGTACAGCTCAGGAGTTACGCAAAGACGTGTCCACAGTTGATGCATTCACTGCTCCTCGGAGTTTTGACCACGCAAGGTTTCACACTGCCGCAGGGTTGTACGACATTTGGTAGTTTTAATCATACTGAAGACACTATTAATTTTTGACAGAAGAAGACAAGGAATCACATAGGTTCTGACAATTATATTTTATTCATATTATATTCATGCGCATGTGTACGTTAGAATAGTTTGCAAGGAAGTCATCTAGAAAGGTTTATGTAGATTTTTATTATTTAGAATGATTAGTATATATCTTCAATTAATACTGTCAAATATGATCAATCAAGCAAACACAACAGTGAGTTACCAAAAACACTTTCATTTTTAATGTTCTCTGTAAACAAAAAAAAAAGTTTAATACTGTTTGAATATGAAACTGCAAAAATAGAGTGAAAAAGAAAAATTGGAAGAAACATGCACAATCCACAAATTTCCCATAAACATGAATGTAGCACGAATTACACAAAACTCAGCGCCTTAGAAATTGCAGTTTACTGACGTAAAATATTTACTTAAATATTTATTAAGCCAGTTTGTAATAAAAATGTTGAAAGTTTAGAGCAGAGAAAATGAAAGAGCAGGTAGCGGCATCGTCTTAGTAATTAAAAGTAGCCATGTTTGATCATTTCAACTATAACACTGAAAATCAACAAAATAATAAAAAAACACAGTGTGCACAGAAAAAAGCCGGTCTGCAGTGATAAAAACATTCATTTACATGAACACGTGCATGCAGTCACCACAGGATAAGGCACTTGTCTCCATAAACATCTTTTCCTTGCTTCACCTGTCCCCATCTGAGCACTGCCATCAGAGTTTTCACCTCTCAATTTTCTGGAGCGATCATCTCCATCTCTGATTTCAATGCAGTGCCAAGCCAGAATCTTTATGTGTGTTGTTTGAGCTCGCACGCAGTTCATCCCACTGGGAAAGGAGCAACTTTGCCCTCCATCTGGCCCTTCACAGTCAGTCTGCCGCAGCCACCGTGGCCAGAAGGTTGGGCCCAGATCGACCCACTGGTGCTGTAATTTGCATGTTGCTGAGCGCACCAGCCATCCTCTGACTGAATTGGCAGCATCTGATGGCAGAGAACTGAGGTCCAGTTCTGCAGCCTCCTTCTCTAGTTTCTGCTGATGTTTTGCTGAAGCCTTTCTCAGTTCTGGAGACACACGCAGGTTAAATTTCTCTTTGAAGGCGGTAAGGGTGGGCTGACTTCCTTTGGGGGACTCAGAAGGGTGATCTACGGACATCCAAAACGGGTCAAACGAGGATCCCAGAAGACGCAGGAGGCGAGAAGGCCGGCGATGTCTGACTTTGGGCATGTAGTGGTAGTCGTCAGCATTTGTGATGAGGGTGTATGGACGGATTGGCTGTGAGAAGGATGGGAGACTGGCTCCCAGCTGAAGAAATGGTGAATCCCAGCCTGTGCCATCCTGGTCTTGAGCAACAGTCACATTTGGATGCTGATTTTGAGTTGAAATGTTGGAAATAAAGGCCAGAGATGCATCCAGGAGAAAAGATAGGAAGATCCAGCAGAGACAACTGTCAAACTGCCCACACATGGTCTTCAGATCTGGACTGTAGCTCAAAGAATGAAAAATTGCTCTTTTAGCTTTTCCCTTCAGTCCTTTAGTTATGCTTTCAGTTGGTGCTAGGTGCTTCAGGGACTCTGTGTACCCAACACCAGACATCCTTGGGCTCTTAAACAACAACATACTGAATTCAGTGTCTTATCACACAAGCAGCACTCTATTGAGTATGGCACACTTGAGTTCCCAAGACTCTGATATTTTGACTAACTTACAATCTGAATATAAGACAACTATGCTGAAATTTGGTTTAATGCAAGGTGTCACGTACCAAAATTTCCACCCTTCACACTTTTGCAAAGTGCCAACTTTAAATGGGTTATCAATGAAATATTCATTGGATAAAGTTGGTGTGTAAATCACTGGACTAAGGGGTAAAATATTTTAAAAAGAGACCACATGAAAAATGTTTATGGGGCAAATGCCCCATTTATTTTCATCTACACAAAATCAGCATTATGGATCAAAGGCACATTTGGTGTAATATCAAGTATATTTTCTGCATCATACTAAACATCCAGTTTACTCTCATGTTATAATATTACATATAAATACAGTCACATAAAATTGTATATACGCACATACAGATAACAAACAGCAGAATTAACAGAGAAATACAGCATTTATGAAACAAGCTGATTGATTAGCAGTTCTGTAGTGTCAGGTTTCATCTGTGTGTGTGTGTGTGTGTGTGTGTGTGTGTGTGTGTGTGTGTGTGTGTGTGTCCTTTAGAAAAAACCCGACCTGGCACACTATACGTGTGAATGTAACCATATTTCAGTTTGTGATACTCCTGTGTTGACCTCCATCCTGTCGTCTTGCTTATTCACACACTCAGAGTGAGAACAGATGATCATGTGTGCTATCCCGTTGCTGGCTAGATGGTGGTGGCCGTCTGGGTGTGGAAGATGGCACATTGAGAATCGTCTGGCTGCTGTAGTCTGCCGTCTTCGCCCGATCCTCCAGGAACTTATCAAACTCTGAAATGGTGACACGTATAATTTAATATTTGTGTGTGTGTGAAAATATTATCATTACTCAAAAGAAGCGACAGGACCAGACATACCTTCACTGGAAACTCCCTCGCAAACTGAAGACTGCTCTTCCGGCTTTTTCGTAGACAAAGAATAAAGATTATGTCATGTTATTATTACCCTGATTTTACTATCTATCTATCCATCCACACATGTGTTCTCTTACCACATCAGAAGATAACCATTTGTCAATATCATTCTGCATAGAGTTTGTCGCTGGCGGAATCTAAAAGAAATTAAATGACCCTGAGTTTTATTTATTTGTAATATTAAAAACAGGGATATTACTCCAAACAAAATCCAGCTGCATCTTACTGTTGCTGTACACCCTCCTCCTGTGACCTGCAGCCTGGTATCAAGAGCTCCAGCCAGGCCCTCTACAGCTCCTGGATCTTCATACCTAACACTGAACACACACAACCACACACAGATCAAGCATATACAGCACATAAAAACACTCAGACACTTTGTTAGGTACACCTGTTCGACTGCTTGTTATTGTAAATGTCTAATTAGCCAATCACATAGCAGCAACTCACTGCATTTACGCATGCAGACAAGTAGGCTGAAGCAAATCAAGCATCAGAACGGTGGAGAAAGGGGACTTAAGTGACTTTAAACAATGCATGGCTGTTGGTACCAGATGGGTTCCTCTAAGTCAGGGATGGGCAATTCCAGGCCTCGAGGGCCGGTGTCCTGCAGGTTTTAGATCTCACTCTGGGTCAGCACACCTGGATCACATGATTAGTTCATTACCAGGCTTCTGGAGAACTGTGAGACATATTGAGGAGGTCATTTAGCCATTTGAATCAGCTGTCCTGGATCAAGGACACATCTGAAACCTGCAGGACACCGGCCCTTGAGGCCTGGAGTTGCCCACCCCTGCTCTAAGTCAAGGGTTTCAAACTCACGGCCCAGGGGCCACTTGTGGCCCACGTCACCCCTGCTTGCAGCCTGTACATTGACATGAAGAAATATAATGGAATTTGGCCGTTGAAATTACTTTTTTGTTAGGGAGTAATGTTAAAATAAATTGTTTTTTAAAAGCAAAAAATTATTTAATATGAAGGCATTATGAACAGAAACTACAAACATGTTGAGGGATTGGCTGTGTTAGTTTAGTGAGAGAATTATTTGTAAAGAAAACAATTTTCACTAGCAGCAAAAAAAATGTATAGATTTTTTTATAGATTAGATTAGACTAGATTATAGCAGAAGTGCTGCCACGTGTCTGGCCAGAAAGAGAGTACCAATTTGATTATTTGGTAGTTCAATTAACTAAATGGCTTCAGTTAGTTAAGGGTGGAAAAAAATATTGCGTTCACATTTGCAGTTTTGTCTTGTTATAAAATATTAGAAATTTTAAAAAACAAACAAAACACTACATTTTCGGAAATATTTGTGGGCGTTTTCTTGTTTGTTTATTTGGGGGTTTTGTACTACGTGAACACTAAAGTGGCCCTCACATGAGATGACAGTGCCAGCAGTGGCCCACAGCTAATTTAAGTTTGAGACCCCTGCTTTATGTGTTTCAGAAACTGCTGATCTACTGGGCTTTTCCCACACAATCCTCTAAATCAGCGGTCCCCAACCCCCAGGCCACAGAGTCGTTTGGTACCGTGCCGCAAGAGTTGAGGCTCGGGTGTGAAATTTATGGTTTTCAGGGTTTTTATTGTTAACTCGGTTTCCCTGCGTCTTTTCCCGTGTTGTAGTTGTGTGTCTTACTTTGAAAGAAATATTTACGTGTTACCATAGCGACCAGAGAGCATTTAGGGGCAGAGAGGAGGATGTTACTCTCAATGTTGTTGGCGCATTTCAGGAAAGACGCTGCTAATAAAGTTACACAATTACACAGCGAATTTGCAGTTATTATTATATTTACAAAATACCACAGTTTTTGTCCTGCTCGCATCATTTTATTTTGTTGTATTTATCCGCGACACCTTAAAGGCCGGTCCGTGAAGATATTGTGTGACATTAAACTGGTCCGTGGTGCAAAAAAGGTTGGGGACTGCTGCTCTAAATCATTTACTAGTTGTTAAATATAAATGGTGACAAGGTCGCTGGGTTTCCTTATTGGAAAGGTCTTTGTTAAAGGCTCTGTGTTTCTAATAAAGTGTATTTGCTTACAGTCTGTCCAAAATTCAAAACTTAGCTTAATGTTAAGAAATGAAACGCAGCTCTGATAGGAAGATTGTAATTGTCAGGGGGCCTTAAGGTATTGTTTTGATAAGTATAAATGTGATTCATTATCTAGAACAGCGGTCCCCAACCTTTTTTGCGCCACGGACCGGTTTATG